GTCATAAAAAGATTTTTTTTTAATTAGACATAAAAATTAATTTAAAGCTTAACTTAAAAATTAAAATAAAAATGATATTAATGCATATAAAAATTGAAATCAATAATCAATTAACAAAATTTGAAACATAACTAAATCTAAACACTATAAAAAATGTCCTTATAGACACAAGAAAACAAATATTGTAGAACATGAACATTTTCGAAACTTGTCACAAATGACGTTGACAAACGCTCGAAGTAGACGTTGAGAATGTGTTCATTTACAGTTAACCTAAACATTGTTTAACACACGGTAGGAACACTCAGGGCAGTAAATTTTTAGAATTTTTATATAATATTTTAGATAGAACATAATTTCGAATGGAAATCAATACCACATCATTGTTGCCGTACGTGCTGGATCTGCTAAGTCGCCAGCCAGATCTATGTGAGTTATATCAGTAACAGAGTAACGGTATAGATGGGTGGTCCAAAACCGATTAATCGCCCCAAATACCATATTTACACAGGCACCTCAGTAGATGCGTTGTGTGAGAAGATACAGGACGTGGTCATGGACGATGTCATCAGTCCATTTGGCACTTTGAAGCGGGCAGTGGAGTTCTCCGTGGAACTGGGCACCAATCTAGGTCTGCTCCTGTTGAGCGACAAACGCATTCGCATGCCCTTCAACTTGCGTGCCAAGAAGGACGGTAAATCGTGCCAAGGAATCGATGAACATGCGCTCGCCGAGGGACACGAACGAAATGTGGTCAAGCGTCTAGCCAAGACAGTAAGTGCGTGCAGAAACCTGAGCTGAGATCTGACTGATAGTCTAATGACATTTCCGCAGTTGAAGGACCCGCGTAATGGTGTTCTCAAACCGAAGACCAGTGTTAAAAAGCGACGAAAATGTATCTACAAACAGCCAATCGCTCGTCCGAAAAGCAAGAAGAAGCGCAAACTAACAAAGAAGCAGCTCTATCGTCTCGCCTGCAGAGCTCCCGGCAACTACTAAGTTTTAAATTAGTTTTTGTTCTTTTTTTGGTATTTTTATATTAAAGTGGGTCAAATTGGCGTTGTCACACACACTTGGACTAATTAAGGGGGCATGGGCATGGGCATCAACATAAGCATAGGCGCGAGCACGGGTTTTTCAGCACAAGACGAATAGGCTGCCGGTGTACGGGTACACACTACGGCTGGTGTGCTGGGCTGGCACACCTGTCCAGCTTCTCCTGGTGTCGGTGCGTCGCAATTTCTGTTAGAATTTCTGAACGGTTTTTTTAGCATAACAATGAATTATTCAGTGGGGCGTGATCGACGCTTGGTCGCAATTCAATCGCACTCTTTGTGTCGAGCTTGTAGAGCTTTGAACGGATAGACGAAATTAGTATTAGCTATGGATATGGGCGATTATGTATGCGACTTTAGAACTCTTCCGTTCCTCCCCCCCAGAACCGAATGCTTAAAAAGAGTCTCTGCAGTGCGCGACGCGTTCAGTGTGCATTCGGATCTAGTCGGAACGATATCAAGCCGAGACTAAAAGGATATATCAACTCGATAAACGAACATATCCTGTAGCGCAAACTCAAAACAACTAAAACAAGATCCTTCAAGGGATATACGGTGTCAAACAAAAGCTACAAGATAAAGTGAGTGACAGTGAAAAGGGCTATACAAGAATATAATTATACACCTGTGTATATGTATATGTGTGTGCGATGGTGTATTTGTGTGCATTCAGAGCAACAAGAAAAGGTCGGAGCCCACTGATTGACCTGTTACCACACAGAACGTGGCGTGTTTCAAAATTCCATTTGTTATTCCCGTTGACATTTGCTCGTGCTGTGCGCATTCCAATCAAATGCCTGAAACTCCATTTACATACTATCGAATGTGTTACAGTGAAGAATTCCATTTGATTCTTACATATGGGGCGATGACCCTTTCAAAACTAATTATGTTATTATTTACATTGTCCTGACTTACAGACATATTACTTATCTTGTATGGCTTTGGAGTGATACAATGTGTGAACTTCTACAATATAAATAAAACATTGAACCGAGTGAATTAACTAAATAAGCAATTAAAAACAATATACTTAACAATTTTTATCTCATACAAATTTAAAAAAAAAAAAAAAAAACATAATCAATTAAAATCCTTGCAAATTTAGAGATTCAAAAATATATGCTGACTACGAACTGTATATTTTATTTCTGAAACCCCTGTAGATCTATACAAAGATTTAAAAGTGTCTAATTCTATGATATCCTTCGATTCCATTTCGTAACATTGAAATAAGCGAAAGTGATTTTGAAAAGTTATTTCAAGATATTGAATGTGCTTCGGTAAATTACAATATCGTATCCTATACGAACTATTAGTATTGCAAATTTTAATTTGAGCTCTCACAGTATTTTATCTATTATATAGTATGGCTCAATATCAAGCTGCTATATTTTAAAATACACTTTTTAAATACAATTTAATTTTTTTCTTGTATTTTCTTCTAAACAAAGAGTAAATTAAAAAATGTTTTATTTTATTTATTTCTATTTTTTTTTTTTTATTAAATTTTTTTGTTGACTGTTTTTTTTATTTTCTAATTACAATTTTTTTTAATATTGATTCTTTTTTCTATTTTTAATATTTTTAGACTATTGATTATTGATTTTTTTTATTTTATTTATTTATTTCTATTTCTTTTATTTTTGTTTTTTGGTATTATATTTATTTTTTTTTTAATTTTTTTTTATTTTATTTTTTTTTTTGTAAATTTAATGAATATCTAGCTATTTACTAAAAGGAATGCGAAGTTAATAATTTGCTCATTTAAAAAAAAAATTATATATTGCTTAAAAGATTTTTATATTTTGAAGCAAATTAACTCAGAATATTTAAAAGTAAGCTGTTTTACTTATTCATATTTTTTTTAAGTAAACTTCATGAAACTTAATTATATTATTATGTTTATTTGATGTATTTTATACTATATTTTACGCTTTCTATTATTTTTAATTTCTTTTTTTTATGAATTTGGGTTTTATTCCAAAAGAAAACTTTAAAATCTCTTAATGACTAAATTTTCCAAACAATTTTTTTACTCGCTGCAATTCAATTAAAATTCGATTCAATATTAAAAATGCATTATTATTTATATTTCTGCAATGCACAGATTAATCCGATACCAATACGACACTGAACCAAATAAACAAAATGGGCAGCAAAAAAAGGGTGGACCAGTCGACCGCGCAAGGCAATGGAGCTGCCAGTAGAGTGGGCGATATTGTCATATCGGGAATGTCGGGCAAATTTCCGGAGAGCAGCAATGTGGAGGAGTTCAAACAGAACTTACTTAACGGCATTGATATGGTTACTGACGATCCGCGACGCTGGGAGGCAGGTGGGGGCAATACCTGACTAACCCGATATGATTTGCAGTCCGATATAAATGTATGTGTGTATATCCGCAGGCATATTTGGCTTACCAGAGCGGATGGCCAAAATGAGAGATGAGGATTTGGAGAAATTTGATGACCAATTTTTTAGCGTACACCAGAAGCAGGCGGAGCTGATGGATCCGTGCATGCGAATGCTGCTGGAGCTGACACACGAGGCCATCATTGACGCGGGCATCAATCCGTCAGAGCTGCGCGGCACTCGCACCGGCGTCTACATTGGCCTCTCCTTTGTCGAGACGGAGCACGAGATACCCAACATGGAGCCCAGCAGCATCAATGGCTACTGCCTGACGGGTTGTGCCCGTGCCATGTTCGCGAACCGCATCTCCTACACGTTCGACTTCAAGGGCCCCAGCTTCATTGTCGACACTGCCTGCTCCAGCTCCCTGGTGGCGCTCTCTCACGCCTACACGGACATGCGTGCCGGACGCTGCGATTACGCTCTGGTGGCCGGCGTCAATCTTATACTGAAGCCCATCTTTGCCTTGCAGTTTCTGCGTCTGGGCATCGTTAGCCAGGATGGCGCCTGCAAGACGTTCGATGCGGCCGCAAATGGATACGCCCGAGCCGACACCTGCGCCGTGGTATTCCTGCAGCGCAGTGAGCAGGCGAAGCGCATCTATGCATCCATTCTGAATGTGCGCACCAATACGGATGGCTTCAAGGAGCAGGGCGTCACCTTTCCGGACGGCCGCATGCAGCATCAGTTGCTCAAGGAGACGTACAGTGAGATCGGGCTCAGTCCCGACGAGGTGGTCTATGTGGAGGCCCATGGCAGCGGTACGCCCGTGGGCGATGATCAAGAGGCCAACATGCTGAGCAACTTCTTTTGCCATCCTGCGCGCCCCAGTCCCCTGCTAATTGGCTCCGTCAAGTCCAACATGGGCCACGCTGAGCCCGCCTCGGGCGTGAGTGCACTGGCCAAGATGATCATTGCGATGGAAGAGGGTGTTATACCCAAGAACTTGCACTACCACACGCCAAATCCCGCCGTACCAGCCCTGGTGGAGGGCCGACTCAAAGTGACGGACCGCAATCTGCCCTGGCAGGGCGGCATTGTGGGCCTCAATTCGTTTGGCTTTGGAGGCGCCAATGCTCACGTAATTCTCAAGTCGCACGAGAAGAAAAAAAAGCTGAGCACAAAGCCGAAGGATCCTTTGCTGAAGCTCGTCACCTGCTCCGGTCGCACCGAACAGGCTGTGCAGCAGCTCTTGGAGGCAGCTGCGAAGCACCGGAACGACGATGAGTTCTTGGCGCTGATCAATGACATCCACTCGCAGCCCATTCCACTGCATCCCTATCGCGGCTTCTCTGTGCTAGGCCCGACCGGCATCGTCAAGCAGGAGGTGCTGCCCTATGAAGAGGAACAGCGACCCATTTGGTTTGTCTACGCTGGCATGGGCAGCCAGTGGGCCAGCATGGCCAAGGATCTAATGCAAATCGAGGTCTTCAACAAATCCATTCAGCACTGCGCCGAGGTAAGCCAATTGAAATGAATCTGTTTTATTAATATTTATGGAATTGTTTTACAATTCACAAATATTTCCATATGAATTTTGAATGTGTTTTATGTTAACATAGATTAACGCTGATCTCTAGAGGAAATCATTATTAGAACTTTACTTTTTATAGTGTATTTATTATTATTATTATATATACATATATTGCTAGCTTCCATAAATAATCGTTGCGTCTCAACCCCATGATACAGAGTTGAACATATATTTACGGATAAACAAAATATAAGAACCGCTAAACTCCCACAGTAGAATACGAGCCATTTACAAATAGAATAGAAATATATATAGAAATTGGATGCGAAAATAAGACAAAAGACGATAGAGATAGTTTCCTTCGAGATTGGGGAACAGAAGAACAGACGTTAAGGAGTTGAGCTTTCGCTCCCAATTTAGTAGCACATCGGCTTTGAGTTATAGTTGAGTTATCGGCAGATCAAAATAATGGTATATTTTATGGTATAGGTATTCCTTACAGTTTGTTCCGCTTGTATAGGATATATCAGAAATAAATAAGTAATTAATATATGTCTTTCATAATATGTATGCAACCCAAAAGGTACTCAATCAAATGGACTTTGACCTGATAGAGGTTCTCACGCGCTCTACCGAGCGAACTTTTGACAACATGTTGTACTCCTTCGTCTCGATCGCTGCGGTTCAAGTGGCTTTGACGGACTTACTCAGAACGCTGAACATAAAGCCAGATGGCATTATAGGTCACTCGGCAGGTGAGCTGGGCGCCGCTTATATGGATGGATGCCTGACAGCCGAGCAGACGGTGTTGGCCGCTTACTGGCGTGGCAAGAGCGTCTTGGACACGCCTGGATTGCCGAAGGGCAAAATGGCAGCCGTGGGACTGAGCTGGGAAGAGATAGGCCAGCATCTGCCATCGGACTGCTATGCTGTGTGCCACAACAGCGAGGACAACTGCACGGTATCGGGACCCGTTGAGTCCATGGACGCAGCCATTCAAAAGCTGAACGCCGAGGGCATCTTTGTGAGAGCTGTGGAGTCGGGTGGCTATGCCTTCCATAGCAAATATATTGCGGATGCTGCGCCAATGCTGCGTAAGAATTTGGAACGTCTGATCACAGAGCCCAAGCTGCGCTCCAAGCGTTGGCTGAGCACCAGCGTCCTGGAGCGGGACTGGGAGACACCGGCATGCCGCATGGCCTCGGCTGCATACTTTATCAACAATCTGATTTCACCTGTGCTGTTCCATGAAGCCATTCGCCACATACCCGAGAATGCGCTGATTGTGGAAATCGCTCCGCACGGACTCTTCCGCTCCATACTGCGTGCGCTCGGACCGAGGATAAGCTACGTCAGCCTCATGCAACGGGGTCACGCCAACAATGCGGAGTTCCTGATGGCTCAGATTGGTCAGCTCTATGCAGCCGGTGGTCAGCCCCAATTGCTAAGAATGTCCCCGTCGAAGGCAATCAGCTATCCCGTCTCTCGAGGCACACCCATGCTCAGCTCCCTGATAGGCTGGGATCACACGCAGAAATGGAGCTATCCCAAGTTTCAAGGCGGTCGCCAGTCGAGCCAGCTGAGCATTGAGCTGGACCTGAGCAAGGAGGAGCACGCCTTCCTGGCTGGACACACCATCGATGGCCGTATACTCTACCCCGCCACGGGATACCTAACACTGGCCTGGATGATGCTGGCCCAGCAGCAGGGCTGCGACTACCAGCGTACGCCCGTCGTCTTTGAAGATATTGTGTTTCATCGTGCCACCATTCTTGGCCTGGAGGCGAGCGCAGCGATCAGGTTGGCGGTGAGCTACTTCCAGGGCAGCAGCACCTTCGAGATCTGCGAGGGCAGCAGCCTGGTGGCATCGGGCAAGATGCGACTCGTGGCCAATGGGCAGGATTTGCTGCTAAATCTGCCCACACTACCAGGCAGCGCGGGGCTAGCCAAACTCTACACCAAGGATGTCTACAAGGAGATGCGACTGCGCGGCTACGACTACAGCGGCATCTTCCAGGGCATCCTGGAGCTTGACAATTCGGGCGTCGTTGGCCGTCTGCAGTGGGCGGACAATTGGATCAGCTTCATCGACACCATGCTACAGTTTCGCATACTCAGCAACAACACGCGTGAGCTGTACGTCCCAACTGGCATCGAGCGCGTGGTCATCGATCCCGTCAAACACTTGGAGCTAGTCAAGCAACACCAACAGAAACTCCCGGCCTACTGGCATCGCAACATCTCCGTGGTCAAGTGCGGCGGGGTTGAGGTACACAAAATAAAGACGGCGCAGACCCAACGTCGCTCGGGCAGCCAGAATGCACCCAGTCTGGAGCGCTATTGCTTTGTGCCGAATGTGCAGCTGATAGATCCGCGCGGCGATCAGCAAAATGCAAAGATCCAGGCCCTAACCGTGGCCATGCAGCTGATCATCGAGAACAGCGGCGGGGCAATCAAAATCAAGGGCGTCGAGGTGGCCGGCAGTCGCACAGAGAACCTAAATGCTGTCAAGCTGCTGGAGCTCGTTGAACGTGAACCAATCCTGGTAGGTGACATCGCCGTAGCCACCAACAGCAACAACAATGAATCAGCGCTGACTGAGCTACTAAAATCTTCCGGAGTTCGTATCGTTGTCGCAGATCTGGCCAAGGCTGCTGTGGAGCGGCAGTGCGACTTTTTGTATGCCGTGGACTTGTTCAGCACCGACCCGACATCAGCAGAACTTCAGCTACTCAATTGCATCGATACGATTAAAGCTGAGAGCGGATTTCTTCTGCTGGAGGAAAGTGTTAGTGCTTACAAGGCCGGCGGGCAGGCCCAGCTCAAAGGACTACAAATATTACCTATTTTGGAGCAGATCTACGACAGCGATCGCATGCTGATCCTGGCCAGGAAAGTAGTCGAAAAGGACTTCACCAGCTCGCCAATCGTACGCGTCTCGAACGACAACTTCAAATGGATCGCCAAACTAAAAGCTGCGCTAAGCAAATCACAATCGGAACAGACTAACGTCTATGTCGTAGCGCAGGGAGATCCACGCACTGGAGCTTTGGGCTTTATAAACTGCCTAAAGAGAGAACTGATTGGCTACCGCATTCGCCTGTTCTTACTGCAAGACCCCGAATCTCCCAAGTTCTCTTTGAAGGATCCCTTCTTTGCCGATCAAATTACCAAGGACTTGGCCATCAATGTGTATCGGAATCGTGCCTGGGGCACCTACAGACACCTGCCGCTGAATTCACATCAGCCGCTACTAACTGTGGAGCAAGCCTATGTCAACACTCTGATCAAGGGAGATCTGTCCTCACTGAAGTGGATTGAAAGCCCTCGCAGCACAAATGTGGACCTTGACAAATGGGAGCCTTGCACGGTATACTTCGCTCCCCTGAACTTCCGAGATATCATGCTGGCATCCGGTAAACTAGGTGTTGATGCCCTACCCGCCGACTTGGCGCACCAGGACTGCGTGTTGGGTCTAGAGTTTGCTGGACGCGATTCACGGGGTCGTCGCATCATGGCGATGGTCACTGCCAAGTCTTTGGCCACGAACTGCTTGGCCAATAAGAATCTTCTCTGGGATGTGCCCGACAACTGGACCATGGAAGAGGCCTCTACAGTTCCCTGTGTTTACTCCACTGTTTACTATGCTCTGGTCGTGCGCGGACAAATGAAGAAGGGCGAGCGCATTCTCATCCATGCCGGTTCCGGCGGAGTGGGCCAGGCCGCCATCTCTGTGGCTTTGCATCATGGCCTGACTGTCTTCACCACGGTGGGCAGCAAGGAGAAACGCGAATTCCTGCTGAAGCGCTTCCCGAAGCTGCAGGCGCGCAACATTGGCAATTCCCGTGACACTTCGTTCGAGCAAATGATAATGAATGAAACGAATGGAGAAGGTGTTGAGTTGGTTCTCAATTCCCTCTCCGAGGAGAAGCTTCAAGCTTCAATCCGTTGCTTGGCCCTCAATGGCCGCTTCTTGGAGATTGGCAAATTCGATCTGAGCAACAACAGCCCCTTGGGCATGTCTGTGTTCTTGAAGAACACCTCGTTCCATGGCATCCTGCTTGACAGTGTCATGGAAGGCGAGGAGGAAATGCAGAAGCAAGTGGTATCACTTGTTGCTGAGGGCATTCGGAACGGTGCCGTTCGGCCTCTACCCACGACTGTCTTCACTGATCAGGAGATCGAAAAGGCTTTTCGGTTCATGGCATCGGGCAAGCACATTGGCAAGGTTGTCATCAAAATTCGTAACGAGGAGCAGCAATCGATGCTGCCCAAGCAGCGACTCACCAACGCCATACCCCGCACCTACATGCATCCAGAGAAGAGCTACATTGTCGTTGGCGGCCTGGGCGGCTTTGGTTTGGAGCTCACCAATTGGCTGGTGAGTCGTGGAGCACGCTACATTGTCCTGAACTCACACTCGGGCCTAAGGACCGGCTACCAATCCCTGATGATCCGCCGCTGGCACGAGCGTGGCGTACGCGTAATCATCGACATCAACGATGTCACCACGGCGGTGGGCTGTGCGAAGCTGTTAGAGAGTAGCAACAAATTGGCATTGGTCGGGGGCATATTCAATCTGGCCGCAGTACTCAGAGATGGGCTCTTCGAAGAGCAAACGGTGAAGAACTTTGAGGTGGCGACGGCACCCAAGGTACTGGCCACAATGCATCTGGATCAGTGCTCGCGCAGCATGTGCCCGGCCCTGGAGCACTTTATTTGCTTTTCAAGCCTGGCCTCGGGACGCGGCAATCCTGGTCAGACAAACTATGGTCTGGCGAACTCATCCATGGAACGCATCTGCGAGCTGCGCCAGGCCGAGGGCTATCCCGGCATTGCCATCCAATGGGGCGCCATTGGCGACACCGGCCTGATCATTGAGCACATGGGCAACAATGACACCGTGGTGGGCGGAACTCTCCCGCAGCGCATGAGCAGCTGCCTGCAGACCTTGGATGCATTCATGCAGCAGCCACACCCAGTGCTGGCATCCATGGTGCTGGCTGAGAAGCGCAAGACGGAGCAATCGAATCGCCAGAGCCTCATAGCAACCATAGCAAACATAATGGGTCTGCGGGATGTCAACTCCATTCCGGATAAGACAACACTCTTTGATCTGGGCATGGACTCGCTTATGAGCACCGAGATCAAGCAGACTCTGGAAAGGAACTACGATCTGGTTCTGTCCGCCCAGGAAATTCGCCAGCTAACCTTCACTGCACTTAAGCAAATTGATAGTCGGGAGGCGCAAGCGACGGCTTCAAGGATCGACAAAGCTACAGCGGCGCAGACAAATTCTGTTGCCAAGAAGATGGGGCAGACGACCATTTCTCAGACCGATGAGACTCGCAAGGTATTCGCCAAGGAAGTATTACCACAGGATGTGCTCGTGCGGCTGCAATCGAAAGCGACGAAGTCCGGCAATGAGCCAGCTGTGTTCTTCCTTGCACCCATCGAAGGATTCACCATTGCCATCGAAGCACTGGCCGCCTCACTCACCTGCCCAGCCTACGGCCTGCAGTGCACCGAGCAGGTGCCACTGGACTCGATTGAGGCCTGTGCCGCCTACTACTTGCAGCAAATACAAAAGCTCCAGCCCCGAGGACCTTACAACATTGTGGGCTACTCATTCGGTTGCCTTCTCGCCCATGCCATTGGCGTTGCCCTCGAGCAACGGCGCTTTGGTGTCAAGGTCATCATGCTGGACGGTGCTCCCACAATGGCCAGCGGCTACGTGCAGGAGGCGAAGAAGCAAACCGACGATCTGAACCGCCAGCAGTCCATGACGTTGGCTTACTTTGGTGCTCTGTTGGCAGATGTGGACTACAATCAGGTAAATCAATAATAGCCCTATTATATATATCATTCTAAAACTCGAGTCCGTCTACAGTTGCTGCAGGTTCTGGAAGGTGTCGAAACATGGACCCTCAAATTGGACAAGCTTGCAGAAACTTTATCGCCGCATACTCAACAGACAAAGGACGTGGTAAGTCATAAGATTAATACAGAAATACTATATTTATAAGAAATATTAACTGTCCTTTTTCAAACTATGGAAAGATCATAGTAGATACTTAAAACACCCTTCATTTATACATTTATTCTACTCAACCCAACATTTTTGTATAAAATTTAATTTTTTAAATATATAAGGATTAGTGTACATCCTTATAACTTCCATGAGATTCGTCCACGTAGAATCTCAAGCAAAACTTGACTTCCACCATTCAACCCAAAATTTTTGGTTTGAATTAAAATTTTTTATTCATTCAAAGATCAGGGTAGACATTTAAAATAGACACAAACATTAGACTTTAGAGAATTCTTACAATGTTTTTAATATCAATTAAAATCGTCAAAGATTAGGTTCTGCTGACGCTAAGCCGTAATAAATCAATAATTCAGAATAAGAAATTCAAAAGTAGTCGTTAAAGCATAAATAATATAATTTCGTTTTAAATATAAAATAAGTTAATTTATTAATTTTAAATATCTGCATTCTCAGATCAAGAAAGCGGCCTGCATGTTTAAGCAAAAGCTTCTTCTATCCGAGAGCTACAAGGGCGCAAAGCAGCTGAACAGCGATGTGGTGCTGATTAAATCGGCGGAACATAATGCAATTATGTCTCAAGATGACTACGGTCTCAAGGAGGTAATCAAATGATCTTGAATGCATTCAATATTGAAAAATACTTAATCGTCATGTGATTTATAGATTTGCAGCGCTCAAATCGATATGCATGTTGTGGCAGGAACCCATCGAACCTTCCTCAAGGAGGCGCAAACGTTGCAAATTATCGAAAAGGTTTTATGCAAGGAAACACAATAGTTCCATGCTTTATATGTTAATAATAATTTTACTTTATAATATATGCAAATACATAATAGGCAAATTTTTTGTATTAAACTCAAGTTTTGTTTATTTACTTTTGATGAATCAATTTTCCGTCTGACTTTGTGCGACCTAATGAAATTTTTAACAAAAAAAAGCTTCGTACTGATAAGGAATAGGATCACACTATATAATACATACATAAATACAAACATGCGTCCATATAAGTAATATATGTATTATGAACAATCAGTAAAAATTTTAAAGTCGGGCGTTACCGACTGCACAACACTAGTTCACGACTCAAAATTAAATTTTTAAATTCATAAGGCAGATATGCCACGCCCTCTATAGGCGTTATAAAATATACAACGGTAGAAAATAATGCTTAATTTAATTTGCTAGAAAAGTCAAACAAAACTAATATACTCCTCTCACTTGGTGAACGAGCCGTACAAAATATTTTATCAGTTCACCTATCTATATAGCACATACATACATGCAACATATACAATAATAATGTGTTATTCTGTTAACAGAAACAAATATCCACATATGATTATGTCTGTCTGTATGTATGTTTATATATTAGTGCATTTACTCAAAATTTTAAAACAAAAAGTGGTGCGATTTTGATGTCAGCCGATTTGAAACTGTCGCACATTAACGGGTCTAATACACACTTATGTATATACGAACAAACATAAATAAATTTCAAAACATAACATCGCATCAGCTGTTATGTAGGGCTCGCAGTCGCTGTTAAGTTTGCAGCAACAACAGCTCAATAGCATAACAGACTGAAAGGTTAACAGAGAGCAAAGAGCTTTCAGTGCTTATCTTGCTTGTTGCTGCTGCTAGCTCTCTTGCTCTCACAGCACTAAGACAAGCTTTTGCGGCATCGACACCAGACGCTGTAGTCGTATAAAAGCCACCGCTCACCTGATGCCGCGACTATTCGTTCACTTTCGTCGTTAGGTCGCGCCAGGAATTGCGGTAGTCTTCATTTGAATAGAAGTCGATTCGCCTTTACCAAGTGTGTTATCCATCAACTGCGCGTAGCAAAGTGTTTAATCAATTTCGCTTCGAATAATCCAAATAAATTTACTGAAAATAACCCAGCTGTTTCACCAAGTGCAACAAAACAATAAAAAAGAAAAACAGTGACAATATATATAGAAGTCGAAAGCAATTGTGTTTATTTCACCAACATCTAAAACGGTCGATTTGTAACGCACAGGAACTAATTGTCCCAACGACAAAACTTCTAACCGATTCCCTTGGCATTCGCATCGCCCGGGCAAGTGGTTGCTGCTGTCTCATAAAACAGCTGTCGAGGAATCGCCTGATTTTTAGGTATGTATTCTGCATTGCACAGACATGCTGTGTACATGTACACACACACATACACACAAACTATTACATGCATGGCCGTTTACTAGTGCGCCAGTGTGCGTGTGAAATTAGCTCTGCAAGAAAGGAGAAAAGAGAGAAACATTAAATGCAAAACTTCATTAACTATTGTTAACTTTCTCATCGTCGGCAAGAATTTGGTAAATTCCACATTAAGATCAACTTGAGTTGATGCTAGAATTTTTAACTATGGCATCATGTAGTTTTTAATTAGCAGTTTAAATATCAAATGACACAATCCGGTCCAAATCGTGTTAAACTTTTAACTTTAATCACTTCTCACCTGCCGTGTAATATTGGCCCCTTTAGACTCTTATAGAATTTTTGTTAGCAAATTCGCAGTAGACAGACGAATATTTAGGGGTTGCCAACACAACAGCCTTATAAATACATACATACGTATTTATACATGTTGTGTGTACTATGGGCTGTATAGTCTATGTAAATATTTTAGCTTGTATTTAAATTATAGAACGTAGTTAAAAGGAGTCAATTATTTAGATAGCATGGCTAATTAGGATTACGTTTAAAGTACGCAGTTCCAAGATATGTATGCTTGTGAATACATACATATATAACCATACACAGATAGTGCCTGAAACCCGACCTCGTTATCGACTTCATTTCATATAGAAAAGTACTTGGTAGGGTTTCGCATTCTAATTGACAAGTTGGTCGATTTCTATGATTTCAGTCTAAAAGGAAAAGGAAAGGAAAACTAATGACATAATTGATTGGAAAATTTCTAATCTACGTGCATACATATACATACATATGTATATATGTCTACACGTATATGTATGTTTGTCAATGTGTGTGTGTCTAAATATTTTCCATCCAGATAGGGAAATATTTAAGCACGCGACCAGAAAGTGCCCAGTCGCAATATTATTAATGAATATACACATAAGTTCCTCAAAACGTAATACTTGTGGAGATGTGCTATCAGTGATACTAAGTCGATTCGCATTAATCAGACCATTTCCCGCTTATCATTGGCAATGAACTTGAGGCGCGCGACTCGTACGACTCTTATGTACGCATACGTATAGGAAGGGGCGTGGGTGTTTCAATGAATGGACTCCGAGTGCTAGGTGCAGTCGTCCAATTATCGATAAGTGTGAAATGACCTGAGTGCATAAATAAACAATCTTGAAGTGTGAGAAGGTAGTACCTGTAATAGTCAGCTACGATCCGTCATGCAATGGCTGGTCACAGTTGGTTATTGCTAACAGACCGTTTTGTTTACATATCGAATGACGCCATTTTCGGCCAGTGGCTCGATAGCCGTACTAAAAATCAATTGACACGCTGTATATGCATGTATGTATTTATAGTTGTCCCTTCCTAGTTATTGTATATAATTAATGTAAAAGGATATATGTATGTATATACATGTATATTTGAATGTTGCCATAGGTAAGGTAAGAAATCAAACAAAGCGACAGCAGCGAATCGGACACCCCCTAAAACTAACAAAAATAATGCCTAAATAAACTTGAAAATCACGCCACCATCTCACTCTCTACAAATTGCTTTCGAACACGCGTCATGCTAATGTCAATGTATGAGTATGTGCGTGCGTGTGTGTGTGTATGTTTGGTTTATTTGTTGCCGGCTGGAGTGGCGGGCAATATTACGATGAAAGCCGGCGCCTCTCTCGCGCTCTCCCTCTCTTTTTCTTTATGTAAATGTTACATACATAAATATGTATGTTTGTATACTTGCTAAAACTGTTCTTGCAGACCTTCTTTCATATTAAATACAAGCATACCAAAAACTAGTGGCTTAGCTTAGCGAACTTCTTTCATCATGCCGTTCTCAGTGCTCTTCACATCGTACGAGCTTTGTCGGTAAAACGTGCCAAACATTTATGTATGTATGGGTGAGCGTCAGCTGCGACCCCGCTTTTGGCATTTCTATGTTAACAAATTTTGTGTTGCACTGTCTTTTCCGCCTCTCTGTACACAGAGAGAGAGAGAGAGAGCAGCATGATGAGAGTGAGTTTGTATATTTTGTGTTTTTGTATATATGTATGTACATATATACATACATGCATACGTACACAAATAATGTTGCCGCGCACTGTTGAGCATTCACCAATCACGCCATAAACAAGCAAAATCGTCGCTGAGAGCAAAGTAGTTGTTGCACGAGCATCATCTCCAGAAATCACCTGATTTTCAATTACTCGCCATAAGTCAATCATTCGACTAGCCGGGCTGATGCTTAGCTTCCGAGAGAAACAAAATACGTACGAAAGCTTTCTCAACACAACAGCAACATTAACAGTAGCTGTAGTCTAAAGTAGTTTAATATTAACATAGCCCCGCTATACCTATTTAATTAGCCACCACTGTTTATGTTTACATGTACAATTTACATGAACTTGCTGTTCTAAATAGTACTACTAATAGCTTTAGTATAGGATAAAGGTAATTTTTAATTATAGAATGTTAGTAACTAATTATTCAAACAGATATTTGAAGTAGTAAATATGTTAATTCAGTGGTAAACAAATATTATGCACTTCTGTCAACGCAATTATCTGATAGGTCCCCCTTAATACTCTATCTATATATACCTCTATTTTCGAATTTAAATTTAATCGAATTTCGTTTACTGCAAAAAAGTATGCAATACGTTTTCAAAAGATTGAAAATAAATCTGTAAAAATACATATACATAATTATATGTTGAGTAAATATAGTCAACATATTTTTAAACTTAAAGAGATAAGGTTTATAATGAAGTTGAATAATAGTTGAATATAGAAGATAGAAATATAGTTTTAAAAAATGCTTGCAATCTTCAAAAGTGGCCTAAGTTATAAAATTATTTTATACATGTTTATTATTATTATTATTTTATCTACAAGTCGATTGGGCCATTCATATACTTTTTCAATTCAATTACAATTTTTAGTGAATATATCATAATTCTAAATATATGAATCGAATTGTAGATTATTCTTGTTCTGAACAATTTTCATTTTCTCTAAAATCACCTTAGATTTTTTTCCAGCCCAGTTTAGATTAGGGTATATGTATATAAAATAGTTCTTGTGGCAGCAGTTGATCGATGATATTAATAACAAATTCGATCCGATTCATTCTTACAGTCGCTAAAAACTGTTACAAGCCGTGGATCAGCAAGCTGTTGCGCTTAAGCAAAGTAACAATAGCAACGGTCCCACTGTACAAAATAGCGGTAAAAGTGCAAGGGCTTTACGTCGACGCCGTCGTCGCAATAGGAAGCAACAAAATTCACAGCAACCTGACGCCTTTAAGGAGCCAAGCGAGCAGCTAACACCTAGCACCTCCGATTGGAACCGTGCAACGAATACCCTAACAGACAACAATATGCCAGCCCGTTTTTCCGAAGAAGTGATCACCGCTGAGCCAGCGACGCGTACTGCCCCCCAATTGGACCTGGGTGGTGGACACTATGCGCCGCGTCAGCAGGCATTGAATGAGGAAATCGCGATAACTGGTTTCTCTGGCCGTTTGCCGGAGAGTTCGAATATTGAGGAGTTTAAGCAGAATCTGTTCGATGGCGTCGATATGGTCACCGATGATCCCAGGCGCTGGGAGCGCGGTAAGTGTGGAGAACTTAATTGCTATTGAAATCCTATTAAATTTAATTGTATTACTACAGGTCTATATGGACTGCCCGACAGAATGGGCAAGATCAAGGAGAGCGATCTCGAGAACTTTGATCAGCAGTTCTTTGGCGTGCATCAGAAGCAAGCCGAATGCATGGATCCCTTGCTTCGCATTATGCTCGAGCTGACTCACGAGGCAATCATCGATGCCGGCCTGAATCCAACAGATCTGCGTGGCTCACGTACTGGCGTCTACATCGGTGTCTCGACGTCGGAAACGGAGCAGCATTGGTGCTGTGATCCGGATCGTGTGAATGGCTACGGATTGACGGGCTGCGCTCGCGCTATGTTTGCCAATCGAATTTCATTCACGTTCGATTTCAAGGGACCCAGCTACAGCATTGACACCGCCTGCTCCAGCTCGCTGTACGCCCTGGAACAGGCCTTCTCCGATATGCGTGAGGGCAAGACCGACAATGCAATCGTTGCCGGTGCTGGCCTCATTCTCAAGCCCACCATGTCGCTGCAGTTCAAGAGGCTGAACATGTTGAGCCCAGACGGTAGCTGCAAGGCCTTCGATGAGTCGGGCAACGGCTACGTACGTTCCGATGGTTGCGTTGTGCTGCTTCTGCAGCGCACATCGGTTGCTAAGCGTGTGTACGCTACAATTTTGAACGTGCGCACAAACACGGATGGATACAAGGAGCAGGGCATCACCTATCCCATTGGCAGCATGCAGAACCGTTTGATTCGCGAGACCTATGAGGAAATCGGCCTAAATCCCAACGAGGTTGTGTACGTGGAGGCTCACGGCACCGGCACCAAGGTTGGTGATCCGCAGGAGGTGAATTCGATTACAGACTTCTTCTGCAAGAACCGTACCACGCCCCTTTTGATTGGTTCGGTGAAGTCGAACATGGGCCATTCGGAGCCTGCGTCGGGCGTGTGCTCGGTGGCCAAAATCTTGATCGCTATGGAGACTGGCATCATACCCGGCAATTTGCACTACAACAAGCCCAATCCTGATCTGTACGGTCTGCTCGATGGCCGCCTTAAGGTAGTCGATAAGAACTTGCCATGGAACGGAGGCATTATTGGCTTGAACTCGTTTGGATTCGGTGGCGCCAACGCTCACGTAATTCTGAAATCGAACCCCAAGCCCAAGGCCATCACCCCACGTAATGGTGGACCGAAAGTCGTAATTGCATCCGGCCGCACATTCGAAGCCGTACAAGACCTGCTGGAGTCTGCCGCCGAACATACCGACGACGATGAATACTTGCAGCTGCTTAACGACATTCACTCCAAGCCCATTCCCTTGCACTACTTCCGCGGCTACACCGTGGTGAGCAACAAGGGCTCGCTGCAGCGCGAGGTGGTTGAGTTCAGCGATGACAAACGCCCCATCTGGTTCGTCTACTCGGGTATGGGCAGCCAGTGGGCTAGCATGGCCAAGGATCTAATGGAGATCGATGTGTTTGCCAAGACCATTCAGCGCTGCGCCGATGTTCTGAAGCCAGAGGGCGTGGATCTAATTGATGTGCTCACTCGCTCCACGGACAAGAGCTTTGAGAACATTCTCAACTCGTTCATCTCGATTGCCGCCATGCAGGTGGCCCTAACGGATCTACTCACCTCGCTCAACATTCATCCCGACGGCATCGTTGGACATTCGGTGGGCGAGCTGGGCTGTGCCTATGCCGATGGCTGCTTCACCCCGGAGCAAACTGTGTTGGCCGCCTACTGGCGTGGCAAGAGCATCTTGGACACGCAACTGCCCAAGGGCAAGATGGCTGCCGTCGGCCTGAGCTGGGAAGAGGCGCACAAGGTTGTTCCCAGCGATTGTTTCCCTGTCTGCCACAACAGCGAGGACAACTGCACGATTTCTGGACCCGAAGCGTCTATCGAAGCGTTGGTAGCCAAGCTGAGCGCTCAGCAGATCTTTGCCAAGGCTGTCAACAGCAGCGGCTATGCATTCCACAGCAAATACATTGCTGATGCCGGACCGAAGTTGCGCAAGAGTCTGGAGAAGATCATTCCCAATGCCAAGAACCGTACCGCTCGTTGGGTGAGCACCAGCATTCCGGAATCCGCCTGGGGCACACCAGTTGCCATTCAGTCATCCGCAGCCTATCACGTGAACAATCTGCTCTCCCCTGTACTTTTCCACGAGGCTCTGCAACACGTTCCCAAGAATGCCATTGCCATTGAGATCGCACCTCACGGCCTACTGCAGGCCATTCTGAAGCGTGCTCTTGGCCCGGATGCCACCAATTTGAGCTTGGTAAAGCGCGGCCACGAAAACAACGTGGAGTTCTTCCTGACCAACGTGGGAAAACTCTATGCTGCCGGTGCTCAGCCCCAAGTACTGAACTTGGTGCGCCCCATCAGCTATCCGGTGGGTCGCGGCACTCCCATGTTGAACTCAAAGATCGGCTGGGATCATACACAGAAGTGGTTGGTGGCCAAGTTTGGCAAGGAGACGTCATCGGGCGAGACCATTGTCGAGGTCGATCTGTCCAAGGAGGAGGATGCTTTCCTGGCGGGTCACAACATTGACGGACGTATCTTGTTCCCAGCAACTGGCTATATGACTCTTGCCTGGATGACATTCGCCAAGATGCGTGGCGGAGAGTTCCACAAGACGCCCGTTGTCATGGAGGATTTGGTGTTCCATCGCGCCACCATTCTGAACAAGAGCGCCGTGGTTAAGTTTGGCATCAACTTCTTTGACGGCACCGGCAAGTTCGAGATCTGCGAGAGCGGCAGCTTGGCTGTCTCCGGCAGGATTACTATTCCGGACAGCATCGATAACGAGGAGTTGCCCCTGGAGCCCCAGACAGCCAGCACCGTTGCGAAGCAGCTGGCCACCAACGATGTCTACAAGGAGTTGCGTCTGCGCGGCTACGATTATAGCGGAATTTTCCGTGGCATTGTTAAATCCGATACGTATGCCTCCACTGGCAACTTGCAATGGGTAGACAACTGGATCAGCTTCATGGACACCATGCTGCAGTTCAGCATTCTCAGCAAGAACTTGCGCGAACTGTACTTGCCCACGCGCATCGAGAAGGCTGTGATCAATCCACTCAAGCACCTGGAACTGATCAACGGACTCAGCAAGGAGGCCCAGAAGGAAACTGGTGTGCCGGTCTACTGGTACGGCGACATCAATGTCATCAAGAGCGGCGGCGTAGAGCTGCGTGGCCTTAAGGCTTCGCTGGCCCAGCGTCGTCCCGGCACCCAGAACCCACCCACCCTGGAGCGCTACACCTTTGTGGCCAACAACAACACAACCGAGCTGCATGAGAACACTGAGAAGGCTCGTCTGCATGCTCTCGATGTGGCCATTCAGCTAATCATCGAGAACTCCGGCGGAGCCGTGAAATTGAAGGGTGTCGAGCTGGCCAACGGCCGCAATCCCGATGTGCTCATGGCCAACAATTTGCTGCAGATAATTGAGGGCGAGCCTGTGCTCACCGGCGACGTGGCCGTGGTGACATCCAACAACGATGAGGAAACTATTGCCAACGCCCTGGGTGACTCTGGTGTACGCGTCATCTCCAAGGACGTGCTGAAGGAGCCCGTTGAGCAGAATTGTCACTTTGTGTACGGCATCGATGTGCTCGCCCGTCCGGATACCAAGACCCTCGAGAACAGCATTGCTAGCATTCGGGACAACGGCTTCCTGCTGTTCGAGGAGACGGTGAATACGTTCACCAAGACTGGACGTGCCCTGCTAGAGAAATTCGGTTTCGTCAGTGTGCAGGAGCAGGTGCTCGGCGGTACTCGTGTCGTTGTCCTGGCACGGCGCAAGACAGACCTCAAGACCCGCAAATCTGTGGTCGTCAATGTCACAGAGAAAAACTTCAACTGGGTGGATGATCTGAAAGCTGCCTTGGCCACAGCGGCTACCGACAACACACAATACGTCTATGTGGTCTGCCAGAACGAGGAGCTGTTTGGTGCCGTCGGTCTGATGACCTGCATCAAGAATGAGAATGGAGGCAAACTGGCACGTTTGGTGTTTGTGCAGGATGCCGTTTCCGAGAAGTTCTCGCTGACCACGCCTGTATACCAGAAACAGTTGGAGAAGGATCTTATTTCGAATGTACTTAAGAACGGCAACTGGGGCACTTTCCGTCACCTGAAGCTGGAGACGCAGCAAGCTACCCTACAAGTCGATCATGCCTATGTCAATACCCTAGTGAAGGGCGATTTGTCGTCGCTGAAGTGGATTGAGGGCGCCAAGATCGAGAACTCCACCAAGAAGGATTTGGAAACCTGCACCGTTTACTACGCGCCCATCAATTTCCGTGACGTGATGCTGTCCTCAGGCAAACTGGCCGCTGATGCTCTTCCTGGCGACTTGGCCGAGCAGGACTGCGTCTTGGGCTTGGAGTTCGCCGGTCGTGACTCAGCTGGACGCCGTGTCATGGCCATGGTGCCGGCCAAATCTCTGGCAACCACTTGCGTCGCCAGCAAGCGCATGATGTGGCAAATTCCCGACAAATGGACCATGGAGGAGGCCTCGACGGTGCCTTGCGTCTATGCCACTGTCTACTATGCCCTGCTTGTCCGCGGACAAATGAAGAAGGGCGAGCGCATCCTCATCCATGCCGGCTCCGGCGGAGTGGGCCAGGCCGCCATCTCTGTGGCTTTGCATCATGGCCTGACTGTCTTCACCACGGTGGGCAGCAAGGAGAAACGAGAATTCCTGCTGAAGCGCTTCCCCAAGCTGCAGGCGCGCAACATTGGCAATTCCCGTGACACTTCGTTCGAGCAGCTGGTTATGCGTGAAACCAAGGGACGTGGTGTGGATCTCGTGCTGAACTCATTGTCGGAGGAGAAACTTCAAGCATCGATCCGCTGCTTGGGTCTCAATGGCCGCTTCTTGGAGATTGGCAAATTCGATCTGAGCAACAACAGCCCCTTGGGCATGTCTGTGTTCTTGAAGAACACCTCGTTCCATGGCATCCTGCTTGACAGTGTCATGGAAGGCGAGGAGGAAATGCAGAACCAAGTGGTATCGCTTGTTGCTGAGGGCATCAAGAGCGGCGCCGTTGTGCCTCTGCCCACATCTGTCTTCAATGACATGCAAGTGGAGCAGGCCTTCCGCTTCATGGCCTCTGGCAAGCACATTGGCAAGGTGGTCATCAAGGTGCGCGACGAAGAGGACGGCAAGAAGACGGTGCTGCCCAAGCCGCGTCTAATTAACGCTATTCCCCGTACTTACATGCATCCAGAGAAGAGCTACATCCTAGTTGGCGGCCTGGGTGGTTTCGGCTTGGAGCTCACCAATTGGCTGGTGACACGTGGAGCACGCTATATTGTGCTCACCTCTCGCTCTGGTGTGAAGAGCGGCTATCAGGGACTTATGATCCGTCGCTGGGAGGAGCGCGGCGTGAAGGTGGTCATCGATACCAACGATGTGACCACAGCCGAGGGCGCCAAAAAGTTGCTGGAATCTAGCAACAAGCTGGCCTTGGTTGGAGGTATCTTCAATCTGGCTGCCGTGCTGCGCGATGCTCTGATCGAGGATCAAACAGCGAAGGACTTCAAGGCCGTTGCCGATCCCAAGGTGACAGCCACCAAATATTTGGACCAATATTCGCGCACCATCTGCACAGAGCTGGACTACTTTATCTGCTTCTCCAGCGTGTCCTGCGGCCGTGGCAACATTGGCCAAACCAACTACGGTCTCGCCAACTCGGCCATGGAGCGCATCTGCGAGCAGCGTCAAATTAGCGGCTTCCCGGGCACATCGATCCAATGGGGTGCCATTGGCGACACTGGCCTGGTGCTGGAGAATCTCGGCGACAATGACACTGTCATTGGAGGAACTCTGCCCCAGCGCATGCCGTCCTGCCTGCAGACCATCGATCTGTTCCTGCAACAGCCCCATCCGGTGTTGGCCTCCATGGTGGTGGCCGAGAAACGCAAGTCTGATCAGTCCGCCGGAGTTAGTCTAATTGCCACAATTTCCAACATCTTGGGTCTACGTGACACCAAAAACATTCAGGACGCCGCCTCCCTAGCCGATCTGGGAATGGATTCGCTTATGGGTGCGGAAATCAAGCAAACTCTGGAGCGCAACTTCGATATTGTTCTGTCCACTCAGGAGATTCGCCAACTGACTTTCGGTGCCCTTAAGGAAATGGATGGCGGTGCCGATGTGAAGACCACTACAAATACTACTGATGCCGCAGCCACTGAGACCGCTGCCAAGTCGACGCCTCCGTCGCGCACAGCCAGTCCCATGGGCGATGGCACCCAGGTGGTATTCACCACTGCCCTCATACCCACTGAGGAAATTGTCAAGCTGGAGACTCAAGCGCCACCGAACAGCAAACAGACGCCCATCTTCTTCATAGCACCCATTGAGGGCTTTGCCACGGCGGTGGCATTGCTGGCCAAGCGCCTGGAGGTGCCCGCATATGGATTGCAATTCACCAGCAGCGTACCCTTGGACTCGATTGAGTCTGCTGCCAAGTTCTACATCAAGCAGATACGCACAGTGCAGCCAAAGGGACCCTACAAGCTAGCCGGCTATTCGTTCGGCTGTCTGCTTACCTACGTCATGGCTGGCATCCTGGAGGAGACCAATGAAATCGCAAACATTGTCATGCTGGATGGTGCGCCCACCTACGTCAATTGGTACACCAGCAGCTTCAAGCAGCGATACACTGTGGACGACAACAACAGCAATCAGAGCTACGGCCTGGCCTACTTTGGCCTTGTGCTAGCCAACATTGATTACAAAGCTGTAAGAAATTGCTGAACGAAACCCCTCTTAAATCATTTTTAATTCAATTTCCAATTCATTCACAGCTGGTACGTTTGCTATTGGTGATTCCCACTTGGGAGGAGAAACTCGAGAAGTTTGCCGAGCTCTTGAGCGTAGAGGTTACACAGCCTGTGGAAACAGTAAGTACAGAGATTTTCTTTTTAGCAACTTTTATTTACCGTAAACTAACTGATTCACTTTTCTCGACAGATCAAAACGGCTGCGAAACTTTTCTACAAGAAACTGGAGTTGGCTGACAGCTTCAAGCCCAAGCTGAAACTCAAGTCGAAGGTGACACTGGTCAAGCCTACCGATAACTCTGCTAAAATGGATGAAGACTACCGCTTGAAGGAGGTGAGCTTCGAAAAGAAAAAGACAAACATATAGAAAATATATTTGGGATTCTTATTAATTTGCAAATTCTTCCCTTAAAGGTTTGCACAAAGCCCGTGGAGGTGCACACAGTGGAGGGCAACCATCGCACCTTCCTCATAGAGGATCAGTCCTTGGTGACCATACAGAGTATACTGAAGCGACTCTTCAACTAGGCAACTTAGCTACATTCCAAAATGCACGCGCACACTAAACATAAATAATACTCATGGAATTTATATATTTCTTATTTTTAATAAGAACGTGCACAGGCGCATCATCACCCATCACAACGGCTAGCACATTTTATAAATGAATTTATATGATTAAGCTACAAGGAATATAGTCAAATTTCATTTTCGAATCCACAACACATTCCCACAATCAACGATTTTGGACGGTAGACAGCAGCACAACAGCCCGCACTCGTCCTTAACTGCCGTCTTGCAGCTCCTGTGGATACCCAGGTCCAATAAGTAATCCACACGTGCTGCGATTCCGGGCAGTTGAGGGGAGCAACAGCATTCCTTTAAGAACTACAGCTAGCAATAGATTCAACTAACCAAATATAAATGTGTGCACAATTGTCACATGTTTTTTTTTAGTTTTAATTTTGTAATTCTAAGTCTAAAGTTTGTAATTTCTCTCTCATTATTCGAATTATTCAACCTATATATTTATCGACAAATTGAAAAACAAACACAAAAAGAACGAAAAATTGTTATATTGGTGTATAAAATAGACATACAAAATGATCGCTCATGATTATTGAGGATATATATATAAATTGATACAGTCCATAAACATATTATGAGTAAATAAAGAAAACTTTCATATTAATAACTATGTCGTAAAGTATACTATATTCGTTTGTTGATATTCTGATAACCTAATGGCTTTAATACTGTTCCCATGATTTCCTAACAACTTGTTACCCTAACAGCTGAAGATATACCCTTTAAACAGCTGAAGATTTACTGATACTTCTCTTTTTGTCAAACAAATTTTTATTTTATATAGACAGCGAAATCGTTTAGCTAGAAAGACAGATGCATAACATAACAACAATATAAATGATATGAAATATTGCCAGTAAATACACTTATTTAATACCTGTTTATTCATAATATTCTCACTAAAACGTATTCAATATTTGATTTCTATTGTGACAGACATGCTAAAACCATCTAGATGGAAATACAATGCTAAAAGTTCAATATTTGTGAAGTCTGACCTATTGATTTGCGCTGAATCAGAATCTATAGCTAAGAGCGCTCTTGGTAATAGAGATTACTTATGTTCTGTTTTGGATAGAATTTTAGAAAGTTCAAAAATCGAAATCAACTCATATCATCGCTTTGATCGAGAATATATGTACTTTATGGAGTCTGCCACGCCTCCTTCTGCCGGTTACATACTTTCAGCGAAACCATTATACCCTGATGGGTATAAATGGGTTCAGGGTATAAAACGAATTTCTTTATATATAAAGCCAGACAGTTGCACCGGGTTAAATCAGCTCGGCAACAGATCTACTGTTTGTTAATCTTACTTAAGAATGTATATACATGTGTACATACATATATGTACAAACATATATAATATATTGTCTTTAATTTGCTAAGTCTCCTTTGCACTCTATATAATCACTCTCTCTCCCTCCCCAATCACCATTCCACTCTCTCTCTCTCTCTCTCTCTCTCTCCCTGTCTGTCTCTCTCTCTCTGCCGGTCTCTCTCTCTCTCTCTCTATCTCAGTCTCTTCACCTCTATCCCTCTTTCTCTCCCTCTCCTATATATCCTTTAGTGGTATCCAGGTATCTCTCATTTGCATAAGCTTGAGCAGGAACGCTAATAAATATTGAAATTGAGCAAACATTTCAAACTTATTCAAATGAACACATGTTTGGCAGACAGTTGTTCCTGATGTCGCTCTGAATAATTGATAACATATTGATTATCAGGCATTGCCCGCTACATATGACCCATGGCGCCTGAATTCACAGTCTCGTTCGCAGCGAGAAGTCTTTTTTTCTTTTTTGCACTTGTTCCAATCGGGTGTAAGTGAATTTCTCTGTGTTTCAGAGTAAATCGAGCAGCGGAATACGGAGATCGCTAAAGTAAAGTATTTAATATTTGCCCCTTATCAATGCTGATAAGCCGCGCAGCTGAGACGTTCGATTGGCTCAGGAGCTCATTTTGTGGAGGTATTTGACTAACTTTGTTAGTTGATGAGAATCCGGATCGCTGGACTGTTGTACTATGTAAATACTCGTGTTCCATATTTTATTTATTTATTTTACTGTCAAAAATTCCAACGTTTGATTAAAGAGTTTGCGGTAATTTTAATAAATAAACAAAAATTGATTTCGTTTGCATAAGTAATTGCATCAAAAATCTTCGAAAGAGACAAGAAATGTGTGTCAAATGGAATTTGAATATTTTTTGTTTCTTTTCTCTTCTTTCTGAACAAGCGCCGAGCCATAAATAAAAATGAGTTTAATTAAATAATCTTATGCTAGGTCAGTTATGCGAAGCCAAACGCATTTTAAATACCACCTGTGTCTAGTCTCTGAGTAAGGCTATCTAATGGGTCAAAAGTGTATTGGTGATAATGATAACGATAAGATATAATGACACACATATCATTTTTCGTCAAGAGGCCATATTAATACTAACTTTAGGCGTACCCCTAAATTCGGGTAAGTGAAGTCATTGTGATTACCCGTTGGAAACAGTTCATGGAGCAATGATAGCACATACTAACAAAATGTAATGGAATATAGTAGTCATGTATAAGATTAATACGTTGTTTTTTAGAAAATTTGGTCTGTAAATCGGACTAAAAAAGATCAGGTTTTTCAATTTACTCTAAAAGCACATAAAAGGATTTATGAATTAGATATTTAATTCAAATCAGCTTAGAGATTCCGAAATATTAATTGAAGAATTTATTTAACAGTTTGAAAATATGAATAGAAATTATGATTATAATTATCAATTAAAAGACCTGTAGAATGTATCCAAAACACCATTTAATGATATTTGGAGCTGCCGCTTTCTCATTGTTCTCTTTTCGAGGGCTCTCTCTCTCTCTCTCTCATTCCTCTCTCTTTCCTCTCTCTTTTTCTCTCTCTCTCTATCTATCTCTTTTGAAGTTTTTATTAACACATTAAGCTTTTTCACTTTTATTTTGTGGATATGAAAATTCAATACATTTCGATTTATTTCTGGCAAATTTTGTTGGCTTGTGTAATTAGCTAATTAGTAAATCGAACATATACATATATTAATATGGGTTATGGAATCGCCTATTTCTATCATTCATTATATATTAATGAAATTGTGAGTGATGGCGGTGGGAACAATTGTTCGAATTACGATTTAATTTTTTTTACATTAAGCCAGACAGACTGAATTTAATATTTGTACAATCGTATTGATCAAATCACAAAAAAAAAAAAAAAAAAAAATTATTTTTGTTATCTTTAACTAATGAGATTCTGGCATAAATTAATAGCCAGATAGTTGTTATAAAGGGAAAGTTTGCCGGCAGCTGTCGTTGTTTCAGTTCTAGTTTCCCAACTTATTTGCAAATTGAATATTTATAAAGTCAATAAGTTTATGAAGCTCATAAAATAGTAATAATTTAAAAAAATTTATTAGATCCACTGTTTGGCGCAAGTGCTAAGTGCACAATCGAGATTCCAAAGTGCGATGTTTCCATTGGCATTTGCCATTATCCATTTGGTGGCTCGATCATAGGAAAAACTTAAAAGGCTTTTAGCTGTTTAACTATCCAGCAAACATATAAAGCATTCCGCACTAAACAGCGATTTTAGATATTGAATTTCTATGTGATTTACTTTATAATTATTAAGCAACTGTCTGTATACCCATGGCAAATGCTTGGAACGGGTATAATGCTTTTGTGCATGAATATGTAACGGGTGACCCGATAGAATATATATATTATATTATTCAGGATCAACATACGAGTTGCTCTAGCAATAGTGGTCTACCTTTTTATGGAATCTTGAATTTTAATGCAAAATTTTTTATAGTAAAAGAAATAATTTAATTAAAATAATGAAACATCATTAAGAATTATATATATTTTTATATTTGGTAAGTAAATTAAGTTCATATGAATATTGATTCAACTTTTTTTTCGAAATTATAAACCTTTTTCAATATGCATATATCACATAAGTCGGGTAGGTAGGTTCCTATTCAGCTCCCTCATTATAATTGCAATATTTTGCACGTAGCATTCATTCTACTTAGTTAAACTTAATTTGAAATTTAAATATTGTAATTTATAAAAGACATAATCTTCCGTATTTAATTCAACTGATCATGTACTCGGATTTTCTTCTATTATAGAAAAGGAAATATATATGTACATAAAATTGTCTATTTTGATTTTCAGGCACTAGATATTTGTAAATGCTTTTTAATCTATTAATTGAAACACATTATTGAATTATATAATAACGACGTGGGAAATGAGCTTCGGATTCCGCATATTCTAAACACTTGCTTACCATAGAATCAAATCTAATCAACATCGAATTATTATCACACATACATAAGTATAGTATCAGTCTGCAGCATGATTATTTTTTTCGTGAAAACTTGATTTATGATTAACAGATATATACATGTATTTATTTGTAGGTTCATTTATTTATTTTTATACTGATTCACGAAAATGAATTATTATATTGATTCACGAAAATGAATTAGTATATTGGTTTTGTGCAATGTCCGTCTTGTCCGTCCGTCTGTCCGTATGAACGCAATTTTTTTCGGCGGTATTGAAACCAGAGACTTGAAATTTTGAAAACATACTCGGGTATATCTCCGATTTATAAAGTATTAAAATTTCCCGATCCGCCCACTAGGGGCGTGGAAAATCGTAAAATGTATGTATAGTTGAAGAGCTAGAAACCTGAAATTTGGTATGTAGATCCGTGTCGATCACCCAAGATCACAAGCTATGAGGGACATATCTACGCCCATTGGGGGTGTGGCAAATCGGATAAAACTGTATCTCCAAGAGTTTTACAGCTAGAACGCTAAAATTTTGCACGTAAACTAATGGTATGATTTTACAAAGTCTAATGACTTATATGTCTACGCCCATTAGGGGCGTGACATATCGGGGAAAACTGAATTTTCTACAATACTTAGCAACTAAATTGCTGATGGGAAGTGAATGAGTATTCAGCAGTCGGTAACGCCCGACTGCAACGTTCTTACTTGTTTTTCTTAATTTAATTTTTGATTAATATATTATCCAATTCTTTTGGGGTATCATTAAATACTTTATTATTTGCTGTATTATTGTAACAGACGACATAATAATGTAAATGGATCTCATATCCTAGTTGTTTAGTAAAGAAC